GAAGGCATGTGACGAGCAGGACGAACACCCACAGGGTGGGTTTCCCCAGGCACGAGGCAAGGGTGGGTGACAGCAACAGCTCTCGACAGCGATCAGCAAGTTCAGAATTCCGGAAGAGGAACACAAAGGGGCCAGACTTGATCGCCCTCCGCGGGGTCGCGGTGCTGAGCTGCCTCCAACGCAGCCGGTAACGAGATCTTGAGCTCCTGCAATGTGGCTTCCATGGCGGGCTCCATGGAAGTGCCCATGGCATTGGTGAGGTATCCAAGCAGCCAGGTTCCGAGCTGAGACCGCCATGGTACGGGTCGTTCTTTCGGTCTTTGGTCTGGGGGCAAGCCGGCATTGCGTCGCCATGTCGCCCACAGTGCTGCAACTTGTGCTTTAGGCTCACCTCGTAAGAACACAACGGTGCTGCGGCGTGAGTTGGAGAGACCGACCTGATGGCTAGTCTGGAGAGCAAGCCGAGCAGCAGCGCCATCAGCAATCCTTTCGACCTTCGAAAGGGTCTTGTCGAGACGGTCGAGGTCTTCTTGTTTGGCATTGGGCATACGGGCGCGGAAGCACGGGCGCAAAAGCAGACCGTCACGGGAGTATCACGAATACACATGTGCTCTGAGCCAACGCAGCGAATATTGGTGGGCAGAATGTGAAACAAAAGGGTGATTAGTTGGGCAATACGGGCAATTAAGCGGGTACGCGAGGGAATAAGCAGAGTGGTTATGATTAATGTGCATACGGGCACTATCCTTACCAGGGAAGTAAGCCGAACACACACAACAGACATAAGCTACAGCCCCAGGAGCATGAAGTGGAAGGCGTTTCGTTAACCCACTTTCAAGATCGAAGGTACGGGGGCAATGGGGACAATCCCAAGTGCGGTCCCTATACGTGCCTTCCTTGTGAGTTTCTCGAAGGTGGTTAGCCAAACCCAGTTTAGTGGTGAAACGACGGCCGCATCCGGAAATGGTACATTGAAAGGGGCCAGAACCAGGGTCCGAAGGGGGTAGCCTTTGCCAATAAACATCACGTTCCCTACCACTCTCCGCTATAGGGTGTTCAGCCACTTCGGCAGCAAAAAAGGCAGGCTGGCGCATTTGTTTTGACTGCAGGCGGCGTCTGGGAGGTCGGACAGGAAACGGAGACAGCGCAGGTGGCGAGTCAGCCAGCCGAGCAGTACGAAGAGCAAGGTCCTGAGCAGTGCGCAACACCATTTTAAATAAAGCAAAATCTAAAGCGGAGCCGATAGCCAAGTTCCAGGAGTCCTGTTCACATAGCTTTTCGAGAACACTATCTGGATCAAGAGAAGCCCAATCAGGTCCACACAGTACCTCCGCCTGTTGACCAACGGATTGCCAAGCACTGGTTGATTGGGGAAGCCCTGCTTCCCACGCAAGAAAACAATTGGAAAGCTCATTTACCAAATCAATCGCTTTTTGGGCAGCGGTTAGCTCAGCCTGACGACCCCGGGAAATCCGCGGTAGTGGAGAAGCAAGAATAGCATCGCGTTCGGCCGCGCGGTCAGGCAGGTTCCCTTCACCACGGGGGACTACAGGGGTGTACCGCAAAGCAAGAGCACGCGTCTTAAGCTTCCAATCCCTACCATCGTTCAATTGGGCAAAAGGTAACCAGCCGGTGAGGGGAACACCAATTTTTTGGAGGCCATGAACTAGAGCATCGCGCAAACGCTTCCCCACCTTGTTTCCCAGGCACCCGAGCAGTACCAAGATGAGCGGGCAGGTAGGCAAATAAAGCTTGTTCAGGCAGGCGATCATTGGACGTGCGAGCAACATGACCTAACCAGCGCATGCGATTTTGGTGAATGAGGTCCTCGATAGGTGGAACACCTAGAAAAGCTAGTAAGCGGTCGTTTGGGATATGATAGAGCTGTTGCATCCACCGCGTAACCCCACTAAGTACTCTGAGACAAGTAGTGTGAAACACCTGAAGTTTACAACGCATAGAGGAAAGTTGACCGTCCAGGTTTCACTACCATAAAGCAAAACAGAGAGCACACACGCTCGATAGACCCGAATCTTGGTAATCAAAGCAAGTTGAGGAACATGCCAAACAGAAGTCGCAAGTTTCCAAAAAGCTTTTCTTGCCTGATCTAGGCGGTAAAGAATGTCAGGCTCGCAGGTCAAAAAGGAATCAATATGCGAGCCAAGGTATTTGAAGCTGAAAAGCACAGGTTGAGAGTCAACTGAATCACTACACAACGGTCCGGAACGGTGAGTAAGCGTGACAAGCGCCTCGGTCTTAGCAGTAGAAACGGTAAGACCCCATGCCGATAAGTGACGGGAAATGTTCCGGTACGCAGTTTGTAGCTTGGAAAGAGTATCAGCAATTAAAGCCAAGTCGTCCGCAAAGCCTAATTCCTGAAAAGTCCACGCAGTGTGCAACATGTACTTATCCAAATCACATTGTCGTCGAAGGGCGCCATCAACCCATGAAAACCAAGATAAGCGATCGGGGGCAGAGGCAGACCAGGACTCCATGACAGCGCCAAAGTAAATATTAAAGAGCAAGGGGGCGAGACAGCACCCTTGCCCAAGCCCAGTGCACAGTTCAAACGGCTCGGAAAGCAACCCTTCGACGGACACACGCGCAAACTTGCTCGAGTAATAGGATTTGATAAGGCCGAGGAGCTCCGCTGGCACACTTTTGCCTTGAGTACACCCCACAACCCTAACCGAGCAACGGAGTCGTAAGCCTTGACAAGGTCAATAAACAACAAATACAATGGAAGCTTTTTTAACGCAGCTGTTTCCAGGATAAGGCGCAGGGCAAAAATCATATCAGTGGTGCTACGACCCGACCTGAACCCACACTGCCACTCAGGGAGTAAGCCATGTGTTTCGGCATATTCAGAAAGGCGAGACGCAATAATACGGGCGAACAACTTACCCGGCACGGACAACAGGGTAATGCCTCGCCAATTCGCACGCAGGGTCAAGTCGCCTTTCTTGGGGAGCGGGACAATGTAACCAGGGGGCATGAGCCCAGCATTGGAACTGGGACAGTGAAGGCTCCGGTGAGTGCTGGTATGAACTATGAGGGCATGCCGTTTGAAGCTTTGGGACGCGTGTCCAACACTGACCTTTTTGAAGCTGAGGTCAATGGTCGGGAATCCAGTTCTCATTGCCATGGAGGCCCAACTGGTGATGATCCCGGCATTGCAGTGAGCAGAGGACAATTAGATGCATTTGGTCTAAGATGTGAGCCTGATGTGAACCTGCTGTCTCCGCTTCCTTTCAATACCTGGGTCCATCAGTTCCTGAGGCAGGTGCTCTCATCGAAGATAAAGTTTCCTCTTCTTGACAGCCAGCCGCAGCGGCCGTTCCGGTAGCGCTGCAACCGCCTTGTTTTCCATCCCGATGCCCTTTGTGGATGCTTTTCAGGATAGCCTGAACTTGAGCAGTCAGAAGAGGAGGAGAGAACGGGCTGGTCAGAAGCTAGTGCACCTTATGGTGATGGCCTGGAACTATGAGCGTGTCAAATCCCCTGTGTCCATTCTGCAGCTTGTTTGGAGACGGCCAAGTGCTTTGCACAGGGCAGTCTACGCTCGTATCTTGTCATTCCTCAAGGTGTGCGGCCCTCCAGCACATGCCTCGGTTGCTGGATGCGGACGGAAGAAATTCCAATTAGATGCAAGAGCTCGAAAGATGGTGCGTGTCCTGGATGACTTGGCAAGTCCTTGGGGTTCAACCCATCTTCTTTCTATCGCTGTGGAGCGATGGGCACGGAGGTTCCTGAGGACAATGATGCCCATGAGGAGCCCAGGCCCTACAGACCACTTGACACCTCACGCATCAAGCTCACTGGGAGAGGAGAGTGGATTGTTGAGCCTGATGTGATTGGTTTTGATGTGGTTCCTCCTTCCAGAGTGGCCCCAAATGTGCTGGAGGGAGATGTGGAACAGACATTGAAGCTTTTTCAAGGTGTGGGATGCAAACCACCCGCTGCGCCCGATCGCCGCATCGTTGGGCCTGCGGGAGGATGAACTTTTCCTACGCAAGAAGGCCTTGGGCAACTTCAAAAACAGTGAAGCTGATCCCCAAATTAGTGACGGAAGAGGGAGAAACTTTGTTGAGGGAAGGATTGATAATGGTCCTTTTCATGAGATCCCCAATGCAACAACGTTGCTTCAGCTAGACGGCGTAATACATCTCCAAGAATGTCAAACAAAAAGGCTTGAATTGACATGAAATGACGTTCAATCTGGAGGATTGTCGGCAGGTCATCCCACGGCGCTGAAGTCTCCATACCATTGGAGACCTGCCCGAACTGTTCTACACTCATCTACACTCACCACCTCTGCTTCTTGTTCTACACTCCCCGCAGAGGTCGGCCAAAAGAACTCTTCCAATTCGCGAACTTTCCAAAGTTCAGACTCCGAGTTTTGGGGAGAGGGACGCTACTAGTAACAAGTGCATCGCTACTAGGAACAAGTGCCCTACTAGTAGTAACAAGGAAGCTAGTAGAAACAATCTATAAATAGAATTAAATGAGGCTGTTGCAAACAGGCTCGCTTTTGTTGCAAACAGCTCGCAAGATCCACTGCCTCGTTGGTTCTTCATCAGTTGAGAACATATCCCCTTCCTCGGTGGTAAAGACAGGTTCTGGTTCGTCCACTGCGCACATGTCCTGAGCTTGCGGGATCTCTTCCCCAAGTTTGGGAAAGACCGTACCCTTGTTTCTAGTAGCTTCTTGTTACTAGTAGCGATGGCCTCCAACCCACTTGCGATGGCCTCCACCTAATAGCGTCCTAACACCGCTTAGTGAAAGACTTTTAGTGAAAGTCTTTGTATCAGTAAGGAGACCGTTGTCGACCAATCCTTGAGCGTGACGCCTTTGTCCTCGAAGCGAGTCGCTTGATGTCTGGCAAGAGTTTCGCATGGGGCACTTCGCGCTTTGCGCCAGCAAACGGAAGCTAATAGCCCTTTGTGCATCGTGCCCTTTTTGCACCGACTTTGCTCGGTTTGCGCTTTGCCGTTTCGCAGGTGCCCGAGAGAAGGAGCGCGGCATGGACGATGAAGGCAGAATTGGGCGACGGATGTCCTCTCGCGGCTGACGGTCGACGCATATTTGTTTTGGCCAGCCGATATTTCTTTTTCAGGCATGTTTTTTTTATATGTCTTTCCCCCGAAAGACTCGGCCGAAGGGCTCTTCCTAAAGGCACTTGGTCTGTCTAGCTCAGGCTTTGGCACTTGATCAAGTTTTAGCATATGTAAAATCTCGCAAAGGCTTTAGCACTTGTAAGAGTTTTGCTCAGGCTTTAGAACTTGTGAGAGTCTACTTGCAAGAGACTTGACCAAGTTTTAGCATCCGCAAGAGACCTGACCAAGTTTCAGCGTCCGCAAGAGACTTGACCAAGTTTTAACCTCCGCAAGATTTGATCAAGTTTTTGCATTTGCGAGAGACTTGACCAAGTGTTGGTGGCGTTTGCGAAAGGCTTGACCAAGTTTTAGCCCTTGCGAGAGACTTGACCAAGTTTTGTCTTTACATCTCGCTTTCAATTATCTTTACAGCCGGGGCGGACCAAGCGACTGTACGCAAGGAGCAACTCTCTCGTGGGATTCGGCCTGTCGAGTATACCCAAACGTGTAGCGAAATGCGAATTCGACGGGTGCCGGATGAACCATCTCGCAGGATCAAGCAGGATCCAGCCTGTCGTGTGCCCAAGCATTCAGCGAAACGCAAATTTTCTTGTGCGGCGGTGACCCCTCTCGCAGGATCCGGCTCCTCGAGCGCTCAACCGTGTAGCGAAAAGCAAATTAGACCCATGCTCGGGCGACCCTCTTGCAGGATTTCTGCCCATGCTTGCGCGACCCTCTCGTGGCCTCAGAACTGGCAAGCTTATAGTGCAAATGTAGTACGGGAAGCAGCTTGTGTGTGAGGTGCCCTCAGATGCAGTCGCTTTGAAGATTTTGTAGTAGACCTAGGTAGTGCGGCAAGTTGACTTGATCAAGTTGTCTAGCATTTGGTCTGCCTAGCTCAAATTTCAGGCAAATGCTAAAACCGGGTCAAGTCTCTTGCAAGCGCAAAAACAGGGCAGACCAAAAACACAGCCACATCTGAGACCACCTCACACAGAAACTGCTTCCCGTACTGCGTTTGTACTATAAGCTTGCCAATCAAAACTAAGGCTTCAGCGCTTGCGAGAGTTTAGCGCTTGCAAGAGACGTGGTCAAGTTTTAGCATTTGCAAGAGACTTGACCAAGTTTTAGCGTTTGCAAGAGACTTGACCAAGTTTTAGCGTTTGCAAGAGATTGTCAAGAGTCTGAGCATTTGCAAGAGACCTGACCAAATTTCAGCATTTGCGAAAGACCTGACCAAGTTTTGGCGTGTGCGCGAGACTTGACCAAGATTGGTCTGGACAGAGCCTAGCACTTGCAAGAGACTTGACCAAGTTTTAGCCTTTGCCAGAGACTTGACTTTCGCACGGTTTGCTTCAAACTTTCGGGCCTGCAGCGTGTCTAGTTTGCTCAGATGCATGTACAAGAAGACAAGATGGATTCTATTTCTTTGCTACTGGAGGCCATCGCTAGTAGGTTGGAGGCCATTGCTGCTGGGATGGAGGCCATTGGCTACTAGGACGGAGGCCATTGCGACAAGATTATAGGCCATTGCTACTAGGTTGGAGGCCATTGCTACTAGGAAAGGTTGGAGGCCGTTGCTGCTAGGTTGGAGGCCATTGCTACTAGTTGGAGGCCATTGCTACAAGGTTGGAGGCCACTGCTAAGGTTAGAGGCCATTGCTACAAGGTGATAGAAGGTAGGCCATTGCTACTATCTTGGCGTTGTTTGCTACTAGGTTAGGGGCTATGTCACAAACCATTGCTACAAGGTTGGAGGCCATTGCCAGTACATTGTTACTAGGTTCAAGGCAGATTGGAGGCCATTGCTACTAGGTTGGGGCCATTGCTTGTATGGAGGCCATTGCTACTAGGTTGGAGGCCATTGCTACTATCTTGGGGTTGTTTGCTACTAGGTTGGGGGCCATTGCTACTATGTCGGAGGCCATGGCTACAAGGTTGGATGCCATTGCTACAAGGTTGGAGGCCATTGCTGCTAGGTTGGAGCCATTGCTACTAGGATGGAGGCCATTGCCAGTGCATTGTTACTAGGTTGGAGGCAGATTGGAGGCCATTTCTACTAGGTTGGGGCCATTGCTACTAGGTTGGAGGCCATTGCTACTAGGTTATTGCTACTAGGTGGATGCCATTGCTGCCAGGTTGGAGGCCATTCTAGGCTGGAGGCCATTGCTGCCCATTGCTGCTAGGTTGGAGGCCATTGCTACTAGGATGGAGGCCATTGCTAGTATAGGTTGGAGGCATTACTAGTTGCTGCTAGGTTGGAGGCCATTGCTGCTAGGTTGGAGGCCATTGCTACTAGGTTGGAGGCCATGGCTAGTAGGTTGGAGGCCATTGCTGTGTTAGTAGGTTGGAGGCCATTGCTACTAGGTTGGAGGCCATTGCTACTAGGTTGGAGGCAATGCTTTAACTTTTTTGTTTTCCTTTATACTTTTCCTGACGCGAGTTTGACACCCAGGTCAGACCTTGGGCCGAGGAAGGGCAAAAGTGGCAGAAGAGCAGCGCTTGCCTTGGGCGAGCAAAAGAAATAGAAACAACGTGAAGATTTGGAAGTAAATAGAATTGGAAAGAACAAACAAACGTAATAATATGTTAATATGATAACGAAGATTTGAAGGCTCTATGAAGAGCAACAAGAGACACAGACACACACACACACCACGAACGAGCACCAAAATGTTCCTTTAGCCATTTGGCACCCTTGTGGTTCTGTTTGGAATGCTGGAGTTAAGTTTTGGCTTCTGAACACACATGAAAAGAAAGGAATTGTTCAGCTTCTGTCAAGCAGCTTCTTTACGTCCCAGCCTAGCAGCTTCTCCAACGCGCCATAGGGACTGTGTATCTACGGTGTATTTTCCCTAACAATCTAGGGACCAAATCATTAGTGCGAACGCTTCTTCAAGGAAACTTCCCCCGCCGCCCCTGGAAGAAGCGTGAACTATCCTGCGTCCATGCCAGCTACCTACCGACTCCCTAGCTAACCTACCTCACCTCTACTAGCGGCCTACCCCTCTTTTAAAAAGAATCTTTATGATATTTTTGCATTCAGATGCCGCTGACCCGCCGTTGTGCATTTTTGGCGTGCCTCGGCAAGAATGACACGGGACCTCCAACAAAACAACAAAAAACGAGAGCAAAAGGTGTTTTTGCATTGAGAACCAAAACCATGTTTTTTGCAGTGTTTCTTACACGTTTGCTGCCTAAGCGTTGGTGAGTTACGATGTTTGTATTGTTTGAACATCGCAAAACAACTGATCAAACATTGTCTAAAAACACTCCAAAATCAACCCCTGAAGCAGCTCAAGGCAGTAAATTTCTGCGAACAAATGCATATTTAGGGGCGCACGCGCTCCACAGGAGGAACGCCTTGGACAACAGGTTGCGTTTTGCATTCTGGTGCAGAATTTTTGATGCGTTGCCGGCATCGAGCACACCCCTGGAAAGCTAGGCTTAATTAGCTGGTCAAAAAACCGCATCGCCGCAAGGTTTAACGCCCCCGTACCGCCAGCCCCAGGGTTCTTGCGGTAAAAATCCAGAGAGAAGGGTAATACCTCTTTTTGAGTCTTGACTTGAATTGTTTGCGCATGTTTGTAAAAAACGAGTACTAAAGTAAAGAGGTAAACGGCTGTAACAACATGTGCCCACAACATCCCACACATTCTGCAATTTTGGAACGGACCGTTCAACCGACACAGAAAAAGAACCAACGTAAAAGGAACATGTTGAACATGTTGTCTTTTTCAAACAAATATGTTTGGCAACAAGACATGTGTTTTGTGACAAGAGTTGGAAGACTATGATACCGTCTCCATGCTGTCTGATTTTGTTCCCCAACAGCTGGCGTGTCTTTCTGCTCCCGTCCTCGACTGCGCTGATTTCGTGGCGTAGAAACAGACAAACACACCACAGCGCTGTGCCTAACTTGACTTCTGACCCCCCTGCGGACATTTTCTCCATGTGCGAAGCAGGATTGCGTCGCCGGTTAGACCATAGACTTTGTCGTCTGCGCCCAGCCCTGTCTTCTCTTGGCCCCCCGTTTGGCCTGGCGGATGTTTAACGAGACAACCCCAATGCAAACCAAGTGAAGCGAATCTTGTTGTTTCGAGTCTTGTTGAAGCGAGGCAGAAGAAACCCTCGCACATGCTGGACCTGGACACACTTTCATTTTCACGAGGTAGCCTGCTTCTTGACATCGCCAGAGCTTTCGGCTATGCCAGCTAGGAAACCTCGTTTGATGTCTACACGGCTGAAGTGTTACTATAGTGTTTACTGTCAAGGCCAATGTACAACGTGCAAAGAGAAAGGGGAAAAACAAAGAAGAAAGAAACAGATCGAACGTTTGACGGCTTTTATGGGAGAAATGACAGAGAGACAAACAAAAGATAGCCCCGAGCTACAAATCTATCGATCGTGGCAGGTAGCCATTTCATGGCAAACTCCAAGTGCCAGCTGCCAACCGGGTCATTCCGCGTGCAGAAAAAGGCGATCTACATACACGCGCACACTTAGACAATGGTTCATCCAGTAAGATAATCCACGAGGAAATCGACGCTGCAACGGAATGGTGGCTGAGTCCGCGGGAACAGAATGTTTGAACAGTGGCGGTTTCACTTGAGTGCAGAAAACGCTCTGCGGTGACGCGGCTGCGCATCGGCGGGGAAAAGGATTTGTGGGGAGTATCGTGGAGAACAACCATGAAAGCAAACAAAAGCGGTGGAAATTGGAGTCTTGCCATCTGCAGGTACACAGAGCTGATCAGGCTCTGCTTCTCCCTCTTGTCCACAGCTTCGTTGCGTGTGGTAGGACAAGGGGCCACGTGCCCCTGCTTTATGGTAGAAAGGAAAGTGTAAGAGAATCCTCTGGGGACGGAGGGTGACACACACACACACACAGCACTCATGAAATGCCTACTGAATCGATTGCGGCTTGCCACATACCTAAGAGTCCGGGTAAATTGAAACCTGAAAAAGAAAAAGAGCGGAGTTCAACCATGTTCAGCATCTCGAAACACAAAATCTCCAAAGGCCAAAGCACGAAGTCGACGAGACATCGATCGGCGAGCGCTTGGCTGCCAAGGGCGAACTGCTGCGATGGCTGCAAAATTGTTCTAGTCAAGAACGGGACCCAGTGGGAAGTGAAAAGTCATCACCAAGCAGGTACGTCATCAGGTGTCCCTGATGATATCCTGGGGTCGTATGAGGAGCTTCGTTGGAGGGAGCCTCATACGTCCTCTCCATCCCCCTGCTGCAAAATAGAAACTACTGCAACGGAAGCCCTATGACTCCAAGGGCGTCAAAAACACTTAGACAAGGTTCATTCAGTGAGAGAATCCACGCAGAAATGAATGCCGGAACGGCGCGATTGCGGAGCGCTCAGAATCGGCTGCAGCGCAGCTGCAAGTCTGCCAGAATTTGGTTTTCGGAGAACCACCATGCAAGCAACAAACAGCGGAGGGCAAACCATTGGAGCCCGAATGTCACATCCGATCAGCAGTGTCCTCTTAGGCAGTGACTGTTGAAGGGATCACTGCCCCCCTGATGAGTGGTACAAAAAGAAAGAGTTGAGCAAAGCCCTTGGGGACAGGGCGTGACGGACGGGTGCCCCTTGGCCAGGTGGTGGGTAGGTATACTGAATTGTGTGGATTCTGGATGCCAGGCCCGAGAGGCACAAGCGTTGGGTGCGAGCTGATGCGGCGTCGCGTATCTTCCACGGTTGGGAGGGTTGTATTGTATGTAGGTGATTGCGCGGGAAGCGAGGTCAATGTTGAACCCAAAGGAGATCGAAATCGTGGACGGACTCAAGCTCCACGCAATCCCCGAAGGTCTCTGGGTGATTGAGGGCTTTTGGTGAGTGACGAAATGGTTGTCTACGTAGCGGTAGTTTGTGAAATGTAGGTGTGTGTGGTTGAGAGGTTTTGTTGTGTAGCTGATGCCAAGCACGCTCAATGAGGGTGATGGCAACGTTGCAGAGGGCCGGTGAATCCAATCCCAGCTCCACGAAGCTGTTGAAAGGTGTGGTTGCAGGCCCGGAAAATAGTGGGGATGTCGCTGACGTGGATAGTTGTTGACGCATGGTGCAGGACCACTTGGTCGCTCATGGGTAAGGTTTGGCGGAAGCCCCATTTCTAGCGGGTGCGCAGGGTGGTGGGGACGGTGGCAAGGAGGTGGTCGCTGTGTTGTCTGGTGTGAGATGAGGCAATGGTCGGAAGAGCGTGGAAGTACTGTGGGTGCAAAAGAGGCGTAGTGGTTGGAGCTTGGTCTGCATGGTGCAGGACCACTTGGTCGCTCAGGTACTCCTGGAGTTGGCAAGCGGGGTTGGTGAAGTTGCTGCAGGCGGTGTTGCCATTGTTGTGGGTTGATGAGCGATGGTGGGTGTGGCCGTGAGTGCGTAGCCATCGCTGCAGTGTGGAAGGTTGTGAAGTATTGCCTGCTCTTCATGTTCGCATCAAGAAAGATGCGAAGGTGTAAGGGAAGGTTGAGGTCGGAAAGAGTGAGGATGTAATGTCCGTCGGTCTGGTGTTGGTCGGGGTCAATCAGTAGCAAGCGCAGGTGCGCGCTCGCAAGGTAAGGTGGTGTCATTTGCGGGTGGAAGGATGAGTTCTCCCCAGTTTCTGTGGTTTTGCAGTTGGCTGCGTAGGGTGCAACGTGCAGCTTCGCGCAGTTTGCGTGTGGGAAGGTGGAAGGGGACGGTATGGGAAATGTATTGGCGCGCCAGGGATTTGAGCCATTGCTGCGTGTTGTAGTTGAAGTTGTTGTCGGCGAGAAAAGGGAGTGTAAGAGGAGCATTGTGACGTGGTGGTGTGAGGTTGCGGTAGAGCATGGCTTTTGTGATGATTTGAAGGGCTTTGGTCCGTCCGGGTTGTTCCCGGTTGGAAGCCTTACGGCGCATGGCGTAGAGCTCCAGGTCGGTGTGATGGCCGCTGCGTAGTTGTTTGGCTGCTTCAAAGGAGCCCTTGGTGTTTTTGGTGCGGTTGCGGAGTAGGGTAAGAGCGTGGTGTTTCGTGGAGGTGAAAAAGGGGGGTTGCTGGATTGTTTGCTGGCGCCTGCGGAGCCGCTGGAATAGTCGGCGGTGGTTGGTGAACCTGGGATAGAGATGTGCACGGTGTTTGGCGAATTGCCATCCTTGGGCTCTGAGCTTGAGATGGTGAGAAATGAAGGGCCAATTGAGAGGTGGCGTCCGTTCATGGATCCATGCTTGGTCGTAGTTGTCGTGGGAAGAGAGTTGGATAGTAGTGAACTCGTCCATAGTGTCGTGTGTATGCCAACTCAGTAGCGTAAAGAGAGTTCTGCTGAATGGGGATGTTGTCTGCGGTTGTGTTCCTGGTGGGAGACGCCGATGGCAGTGGAGCCAATGTAGAAGTGGCCATGTTGGTGATAGGTGCGTTGAGAGAGGTGGAGATTGAATTGGAGCTTGATGTAGACCGAATTTGGCGCAAGAAAGTGGTGGAAGTGGTACGTGTGCGAAAGCTGTAAGTGCCAGTAGCGATCAGGTTTTGCAGGATTTCAACGCAGCTCGGCTTAGCTTGGCCAACGGAAGGCCATATCGGGTAGAGCCTCCTTCAACTGATCTTGCGTACACGCCGACTTCTGGAGGATGCGAATGATGTCCAGGGCTGAGGCTTGTGTGGCCTCGTCGAAAGCAGTGATCCATTTGTTGATGGCTTGGATGGACCAGGCGTCAGGGATGTCGTCTTCTTTGAGGGCAGCGCTGGGAGTGTCAGCTGGGAGGGAGCAGGCGGAGGCGGACGAGCGAGCTGTGAGGGTGAGGCCATGTGAGGCCAATTTAGTGCGTTGTAGTTCGTCATTATTGGCTTGGAGTGCCCATAAGACTGAGCCTTGCGCGCACAGTGAGCGAAACTTGAGTTTGACAAGGGAAGCACGTGATTCAAAAACTATATTCCCACACCTATGTCCACACGACTTTCTTCTGCAGCCGCGGGTGCGTGGGCAGCAAGGTGGTTGGTGAGGCGGTCAACCCAGGGGGCCATGTATGCTAGTGCTTGGGTGGTCTTGTTTGGAATATCGGCGTCCTTGGCGCGGTGGGGCGCCTCTGTAGTGCCGTCAAGTGCGAGCTTTTTGTTGCGGACCTCTTGCAGCAGGTGTGTGACAAATACCGATTCAGCAATGGTCCTGGTGGGAATCAGCCCACGCACAGTATTTGCCGTGGCTTTCGGGTGTGGGCTGTGGTATGCTAGCAACCAGGGTAAACGTCGAAAGTGGGCAGGCCAGCAATGCCAACTTTGCGTGACCATGCTGTGGGTTGGATGTGGCGAAAGAGTTGGTGGTTGGCAATGACGTTGGTGTCCCAATGTGTGTCTGTGGATCGCCAGGTGTCTGGGAATGGTGGTTGTGGGAAAGGGGCTGTTGATTGTGTTGGTGGCGGTGTGCGAAGGAAAGGTGGTGGTAGCGGCTGCTGCTGTCTGGCCAGGGGTGTAAGGATGGGGTTGATGTGATTGTTGTGTGCGAATAGAGCCAATAGTGTTGCAGCAGTCCACCAGGAGATCCGAACCGAGAAGTTTGTTTGTTTGTTTGTTTGTTTGTCTTGACACGTTTTTCTTTTTCTCTTTTGCGCTGCTAGAGCGGAAGAGTCGGTCTCATTCACGAGGATCATAGCTGACAGCTCAGTTGGGGCAGCCAGCCGCTGTTTTCCGCGCAAAATGTCGGAGTGAGCAAACGATGTTGCTGAGGTGGAGACCTACCCTCTCTCATGGGGAGTGAACATCATGTCAATGTTGTCGGCGCGGTTGGTCGTTGCCCATAGGTTTGTACGCAAGGTGCCGCCGTGGTCGGAAGGAGTTGAGATGGCTGGTGAGCGGTGGAAGTTGTCCAAGGTGTGGATGTGGAGCTAGTATTGAGGGAGCGGGAGCGAGCCCGCCATGTTGAGGGTGGAGGGGCTGTCCTGTGGCTGTTGGTGGGCGGGCGGCGAGGAAGTCGGCGGTGTTGGGCGGAAACTTGACTGGGTCCACGCGGTAATGGCCATGGGTGTCCGGCGCGAATTGGAGGAGCCGTCGGCCTTGGTTGAGGTCGCAGCGCGATGGTGCCAAGCGGTTCAGGGCGTTGCGAAATTGGATGTAGAATCGAAAGGAGTTCTGGTCTGTAAAGTGGTTCTGGTTGGGGGGTGGGTCGCGGACAATGGGGTGTGTCAGGATGGCATGAACAAGCCAATCGAGAAGCTTGAGCGCCCACTGAAGTAAAAGAAGCTCCGGCTGCTGTGTGGCCGATGGGGCGTCCATGATGCTGAGTCGAGAAAGGGAATCTTAGAATTGAAATCTGGTACCCACGAAAAGCTGCGGTGTGGGTAGTGAGACACGCTACCGCAAAGTCAAAAGTGAAATGAAATGCACGAACGCGAAAGTACTGAGGCAGTGCATTTCGACAAGGTAAACAAGTGGGTTGTTTAGGTGAGTGGGGTACTGTGAATTGCCAAAGATGGTGCTTCTGGGGTCGCTGTCCGGTTGTTTATTGCTCAAGCTCGCCGAGAGAGCTTGGTGAAAGAAACTGCCAATCTGCCGGTGTTCCCGAGAACCACATGAAGTATGAGCCAAAAGGCAATGCCTCTTCCGCAGCATCGATGTCTTCAGCGTTTGGGTTGGTGGTCGCCGCTGCCGGCGCGCGGGCTGGGTTCATGGAAGGAGAAAGAAGATTGGTTCCGACATCTGGAGAAGTGGGGGAGGGAGGAAGAGATGGTGGATGGGGTGGGAGGCCCATGAGTTGTTGCAATTCTTGAAGTTCTGCCCAACGGGTTTTGCGTTGCTCAATAGAGAAGCAAATACGGGTTGCTACATAGCGTCAGCTGGGGGCAAAGTTTGGGGTTGGACTTCATGTCTATGAGTTGGACATCTTGGTCAGCTCCATTCATGCCAATTGCGGCCGGCAGCTGCGGGGAAGTGCCGTTTGGGCCAGCGCTTGGGTGGTGGTGTGGGGTCGCTGTCTGTGTGTTCCTGTGAGGGGGACAGCTGTCGTCTACAACGAGGTGGTGGTCTGTCCGATGAGGAGGAGGAGGGTGATGGGGTGACGCTATGGTTGAGGTATCTCGGGAAACGGGTCGGAGGTGGTGGTGGCAATGGCGACCCGACAAAATGCGGATTGACCTGGCGAGTATGTTGCAGAACAAGAATGTGGAGGTGTTGGGTGACGTCAGCTGCTTGTTGCAGGGTGGCGTTGAGTTGTGAGAGAAGAGCGGAGGCCTGACGCAGCGTTTGGGCAATGTCTGTAATCATCTGTTGGCAGAGGGCGGCGGCGGCAGCGGAGTAGCGGCAAGAACGCAAGTCAACCGGCCCATGCATCGAATTAAACGATCGTGCAAATGAATTATATCGAGTCCCAGGATGTATAAAACAGTTGAGTACAGGTCATCAAAGTGAAAGCGAGAGTTGGCGTCTCGAGAACGCCTTGAAACGAACATAAGAAACTCCGCAGGTGAAGAAAGGAACTGGTTGCCAGACACCTTGCTGGGCGGGGAAATTGATGATGTCTGAAAAGTCGTGGGCGATGGCGCTGGTGACGAGGTGGGATTGGCGGTGATGGGGTGTAGAGAGGGAGCTGCTATTGTGATGGGTTCTGGCTGGAGGGTTGGTGCTGTGGATTGCAAGTAGACAGGAAATTGGTGGTGTGGGTATATATTGGGTACACGGGTGTTGAACTGCAGGCATAGTGTGCGACGGGAAAGGTTGTGATGGTGGGTGTGGTGCTGGCATGGCCGGGCAGCAGCAGCTGCTCCGCACGAAAAATGAAATCAGACACATAAATCCCCTGATAAGTTCATGAACAGTCTGAACTGGAAAGAGAGTGGTCAGCAGTTGTGACAGTTGAAAAGTCGAACATGCAAAGTGAAAGTCAAAAAGTTACCGTTGACGTCGAGCATCCATTGGTAAACCCGTGAATTCTTGCCGCAGTGAAGTCAAGTGGTAATCTGTATGGATCAGTGGGTACCGCGAGCCTGGCGGCGCGCTTTGCCAAAAAGTCAGAGAGATAATCCACGAGGGGGCAAGGCCGCCTTAGTTTCGATCACAGCCACATCGAGGTGCCACGCTGTTCCCAAAGTGCTCATTGCTCCTTCTTGAGGCATGTTCCTGGCTGCGGGCGGGACAAGTCTTGTCATTTTGCATGGTGTGTTTTGATGTGGACTGCAAAGCACGCATGCATCTGCGCGGGAAAGCTGAAGAATGCCCTGGGTGGACGACTTGGTAGTCTTGTCGTCGTGCAACTCTAAAGACAACTGTTGCCTTGGCGGTCCAGAGGTTTGACGTGTTCGTGTTCGTGAGAAGTGATTGTTCGAACAAGCCAGAAGACCAGCCTTTGAAGATTGTTCCGTTAACAAAGGCCAGAGAAGCCGTTAAGAGTTGTTCGAACGAGCAGAGAATCAGCAATGGTGGGCAGATCGGACTTTGCTTTGGAAGGCCCAACGCAGCCGGATGTCCTTGAGGCTGCCGCGAATAACAGTAGAGGTTTTCTTCGCCGCCCTCAGCTGGTGAAAGGATGAAGAGAACCGCTGATCTGAGGATCGCTTCGCCTGTGCGCAGTTCGCGCTCGAGAAGTGTCGAAGAAGGAAAAAAGAAGAGTTTGCGAGAACATGTTTTTGAATCCCATGGAAACACCATGAATCAGGAAGCTCCACGGAATGCAGAAGGAAGAGGGGACTTGAGCAACAACGCGAGAAGGAAAGGGTGGAGACGCAAGTCAGTTCTCCCACCCCCGGCGTGTCAGTGGCCAGCAACCCATGGCAGCCACCAGGCACTTGGGGGAGATCGCAAGCTGCGAGTTTTTCTTGCTCGTAGGTGACACGCCCCAGTTCAGTTGAAACACGGTGAGGCGGTGACCAAAGAAGAGAGCAACGACAAAGCCAAGAAGATGAAGAAGGGTTCGGCAGACATGTGCAAGATGTCCAAGACTTGGCTCAGAAGCCGAACGCCTCACTATAAGGGCACAATCGCATCTGTTTTTGCCTCGCAATACGGGTGACAAGGTGCAGATTGTAGAAGACCATCGCGTTGTCGAGGAAGAGTCACACCATCGCGAGGAGTGTAGGCAGGGTCAGAAGGCGTGTGGCAGCAAGAACAGGGTGACCATTTGCGCGGAGAAGGGTTTCAGAAGAGCGGAAGAGGACGCCAAAAGAAGTGACCTACGATAGGTTGAAAAGGAGTTTGCAGTGAAAAAGTGATGTCTCGTGGCTGTGGCCCTTTTCGAGAGTGCAGAGCTATCCGCCTTGATACGGGAGTGCAAAGTAGGTTGAGAAAGACGCATGGTATGGCAGGCGCCTGCTTTGTGAGCTTCAGGCTCACAGCTGGCCATGTTGTAGATTGAGTGAGTTTCACGGTTTTTGCAGCGCGCTTTTTTGCCCCATGCGTTGCGCGCAGGTTTTGAGACAAGATCAAGCGAGTTGTGGGAAGTACTCTGTCAGCTGAAACTTGAAACAAATTCCTGTTCAGAAAGCCTGGGCACCGTGAATGGGTCATGGCCACGCTATTGGAACCATGGCAACAGGATGACGCCCAAGACGTAAAACGGACATGTGGCCACAGGTTCCAGCAGCGTCCATGAAAAGAGCGCTGAGGCGTACCGTGATGACGACCAGATCCATGACTGTGTGCAGTATCTCGATCAAGGAAGCGGATTGGAAGATGAAATCTTCAGACCAGGGAATCTAGGTGTCCAGTATGAAGACTAAGAAGACGCCTACAGGTAGATGTTGGATCCTCTTGTGAGCTTGCAAGAAGTACAAAGGTTTGCTAGCGCCGAGGGCAGTTAGACCATGAAAATAAAGTAACTATGTCTTCTCTGTGTGGAGTGTGGGGCGTTGGCTTTGTGCTATTCCAAGAAGCGTTGGCAAGGTCACCGCGCCAGCTCGTGGCGCCAGACGCACGGCCGTTATTGCGACCGGCCAAAAATGGCCAAAGAAAAACGTGGCGAAAGTAGAGATGTGGCACGAGTGATTCCATCAAGGCCTGCGTATACTTAAACCAGAAGCATGGACGAGCGTGCCCTGTGGCCACCTATGGGTTGTATTTAGACACTTGAAAACACTGCAGATGAGGACAGGCAAGTTCTCATCTTGAGTGATGTCGATAAGCTTCGGGATGAACTGAATGAAATCTGAAAGCCTGATGATGAGATATCAACCCCAGGAATCCGCCAACCTACCATTCCACAGACCAGGCTCAAACTCATCGCACTGGTTCTACGGCCCAGCCACATGCCTTGAGATGGCAAAGCGTGGCGGACGTGCTTGTGGTTGACCCTTTCAAGTGTGCGCGCGTATGAATATGCGTTTTCAAGAAATGTGTAAGCAATTTTTGGTTAAACAACTTTTGGCTAAGCTGCTTCTAGCTTGCGGGCGCGTGCTGTGTTTTGTCTGCAAAATTTCGGCAGGGCTACGAGGAAGTGCATGTGAAGCCATTCAAGCACCCAGAGGTCAACCCGGAGGACTTGATTCCTCTGTGAGACCCGCAGACGTTTTGACTCGAGTAAGCGCATTCAAAAACCTGATCACATGGATGTTCCTTTCTCCTTTTTGTTGATACTGTCTGACTGTTTTTCAATTTGTCTGTAATATATTTTGAACTGTGTCTTGTTTGTCGTTTCCTGAGGTCCAAGCTTCCGACATGGTGCCAAGAGGCTTTCCCAGGTGCCACGAAACTCAACACGGTGCAGAGCAAGGCGCAAACTTGAGAGTTCGGCCGCGCAGTCTGCGATTTTTGTTCTTTTGTTCTGATTTTGCTCATGCGTTTGAGTTTCAACCACGATGTCATTTCGCTGTGTCAAACTGCAGGTTTTCAAGACGGCCTTTGAAGAGCACAATGAGAATATGCTGGCCTGGATTCATCAGTTATCGGCCCTTTCTCATTTCCGTGTTTGCTACTAGTAAAATCATGTAAGCTACTCGTAGATCGACGAGTTACCTAGGCTACACTACTCACTACTACCCTTTTTCGACCCGCCTACCCCTTATCCTTCTCCAGCAAGAATTCAATATGAGGAAACCAAAGAGAGAACAACCAAAACTACATTTGCAAAGAACACAGAGAATCAGAGAGAACAAAAAGAAAACCAACAAGGAAAGAACACAACATACACGCCCGCAAAACATTGTAAAACTCATGAGCTGAGCGTTGTTTTCTGCCGTTTGCCAGGTTTGTGCCCCGACCGGCAGCGGCAAGACCAATGTGGCCATGTTGACGATTCTGAATGTGATGAACCAATTCCGATTGAAGGTAAGACGAGAGAAACAAACAGTTAACAAAGAGGAAAACAGAGGTTTGAGTGACGTGACAAGGTTTCTATGAGGGATTTCGTGAAGTTTCTATCTGTTTTTGTATTGTTCAGCTGACTGAACATTGATGAAGAAAGATACAGTTATACAAGTAAACAAACGCTATTGTTACAGGTTGACTTTTTTAGAGTAACTAACAGGCTTCGCCAACCGGCGATGCCCTTGGGGGGACTGCGTGTATGAGTAGGCTCTTTGCGCAGCAAAATGTGACGAGCAGCACAGCTTCGTACGCCTGCGCATACACAGGTGTGCGCGTGAGCTCTGAAGTAAATAACTCGGCAACTTCAACTTCAAACACGCGTACACGCATGCACACTTGCACGCGGTGCAGGTGCCCGCCCGCGCGGCTTCTTTGTTTGAATATTTTCAACATTTTCTAGCCTAAAGCTATTTGTGTTTAGGCTAGAAGATGCTCAAAAATATAGCTGTATAACGCGTTTTCCATTACAAAGTCCTGGTATTTGAAGAAAGCATATATAAGCCCAGGTGGTGCTAGAAATGTCGGCTGCAAACCGACCTTGTGAACATCGCCAGGACGTATGTAATTACCCAGAAGTGTGACATTGGAGGGCTGCAGGGCTTGCAGCAAATGGTTAGCATTCGTGAAGGACAATGAGATCAACCAATGGAAATTGGAAGTTGAAGGTTCCATGATCATTATCATTGGTTTTGCAGTGATGACCTTTGCAGTGTGGAGGCTTTACAAACATTTTGAGAACCGCTATACAAATATATGTTTTTGATGGAAACTCTCGGCGACAGAGTGGATGCAGCAGAACTCAGGATGGATGGTGGAGATTGAGCGCATGATTGACCAGAAAGAGGGAGATGAAAGAAGGATAGACAAACTGGTAGATTATTCCAGGAGAATTCATAGTGGGTTGATTCTCCATGGAGGCTTTGTAGGACAAGAAGCACTAGATACCCTCGCAATAATCAGCTATGACATGGTTGGAGAGATAAACGCAGGGAACTTCTTAGCTAGAAGGAGCTTGGAGACATGAGATCAATGGAAGGGCAAAATCTTGGTCATCAGGTGATGTTGAGAGCAGCCTTACAAGGAGCAGTTCCTACAGAAGGACCATTGTCGAGGAGATTCCTGCCAGGAAATAGAGAACAGATGAGCAAAGTGGAAAAAGAACAGGCAATACAGCTCTGTGGTCGACTTGAGGAGAAGATCGAGATACTGAGAGAAAGACATTGGAATCTACTAGGAAGAGGAGAAGAGGATGGAGCAGACGCAGTTGCACATGAAAAGGACAGGTATGAGAGGTTGCTAGAATACATGGAGATGAAAAGAGGCCACCCAGAAAGGATACCGCCAGACACCTCTAGGAACCCCTTCTTGAGAGGATGAATCAATCGACAGAAGAATGATATGGATAGAGGACGATGGCGGCAGAGTGAGGTAAAATAGCAAAATTTGAGAGCTCACCCTACTGAGACGGAGTGTGAAGAAGTTTCAATGTAGATCACATGTAGCGTGTACATCATGTTCACTAGCTTTTCACTTGACCGCAGCTCTTTGTGCGTTCAGAGAAAAGTTCGCAAAATTTCTAATTTTGTTTTCGCGAAGACTCTTGCAGCCCGTTGCGATACCGTTCCAAAAGCAGGACGTACAAGCGGCAGCAAACGGGTCTCAAAAGGGACCAAACGGGGATGAAACTGCTTGATATTTTTTGCATTTTTAAAAAACTACGCCAGAAAGACTTGAACAAATTAATGTCAGAGATGTGAGACTGAATATGTTTGTCTCGACGTTCACGTCTCGGTTCCTTCGGGTGTCACAGGATGGTTCCTTCGACTTGGCCGGCTTCAAAATCGTCTACGTCGCACCTATGAAGGCGGAGAGAACTTTTGGCGAAGGAAGAACAAAAAACAATATTTTTTTAAGATTGTTTTTTTTGGGGAGGGTAGGCCGGTAGAAGTGAGGTAGGTAGGTAGCTAGGTAGCTAGTAGAAACTAGGTGGCTAGCAGCTTAAGTAGCAACAAGCATGGACGCAGGATCCCTCATGCACTATCCCAGAATTTGAGGGAAACTTAATTGAGTAGCCAAGTAGCTAGCTAAGCTTAAGAAACTACTACGTATTGGACGCAGGTAAGGACAGGCTTCTTTAATTCAAGGAAACTCCCACAGGGAGAGCTTCCTGAGCGAAGAAGCCTTCGCTGGATTGACTTGGTTCAATAGTCAATTGTTGGGGAACCTTAGCTTTAAGTTGCTGGGACACTGACAACGTTTTTTTAAAATTCATTCGCCCCTACCTAGTCCCACGCTCCCACAAGTTGCTTCCACATTGTCGCGCTTCAACCACCGTGAGCGCATCCCAAGACCCCGTGGGATATTTCTTTAAAGATCGCCTTTTGCCAAGAGAAAACCATTTAGGCTGAAAACCTTTTAGGTTGGAGGCCATCGCTACAAGGTTGGAGGCCATCGCTAGCCATCGCTAGTAGGTTGGAAGCCACCGCCGTTAGGTTGGAGGCCATTGCTATAGTACGTTGAACGCCGCCGCCATTAGGTTGGAGGCCATCGCTGATGGGTTGGAAGCCATCGCTAGTAGGTTGGAAGCCATTGCTATTATCGCTATTAGGTTGGAGGCCAGTGCTACTATAATTGCGATGGCCTCCACCTATAAAAGATGCCCTCAACCTAACAGCGCTGGCCTCCAAAATAGCGATGGCCTCCAACCTAATAGCGATGGCCTCAAGCCCAATAGCTATGGCCTCCAACCCACCTCCACCTATAGCGAGGCCCTCCAACCTAATAGCGATTCCAACCTAATAGCGATAGCCTCCAACCCAATTGGTTGGAGGCCATGGCTATTAGGTGGAGGCCATCGCTGTTATTGGGTTGGTTGGACGCCGTCGCTACTAGGTTAACGGCGCAGTTAGCTGGAGGCCATTGCTATTAGGTTGAAAGCTTTTCGAGTGGAGTTGGATGTCATGTGCTCTTAGGTTGGAGGCCATCGCCATTAGGTTGGAGGCCATTGCTGATAGGCGTGAGGCCATCGCTAGAAACAACCTCTCTTAGGAACGGGCTGGCCATAGCTGCCGTGCCTTTTGACTGGGCCTTGTCCCGGGCGCCGTGTGTCCGGCCTGGATGTCCCGCCGAGCGCCCCTCGGCCTGTTTTTCTCTTCTTCCTTCTTTTTCGAATTGAGCGCAGTAGGTGGAGGCCATCGCTACTAGGACGCGTTTCAGGTTTGAGGCGGTTGCCATCGCTTTGCCCGGAGGCCTTGGTGCAGGAGGTGGTCCAGAGTTTCACCCAGCGCTTGGAGAAAGCGTATGGAGTAGCTTAAGCTCAACAGAACAAACTCGTTTGCAAGCGTGGAGAGAGCTTTGTTTGCGCAACTCGTTTCCATGTTTGTTTTACCGCCTTTGTGAAGTTTCGTTGTTGAGGTCACGATTCGGGAGCTCAGCGGTGACGTGAACCTCACAAAAGCTCAGATTGACGAGACGCAGATCATTGTCACGACGCCCGAAAAGTGGAACTCTGAGAGCTTGAGGTTTTCCGAGACAAAGAACGTCTTTTTATGTTTGAGGGTAGGCGGAGGTAGAAGTGAGGTAGGAGGTAGTAGCTAACGGTTGCTAGTAGCTGAGAAGAGGCAGCTAGTAGCTTCAAGGAAGCTCCCTGCCGCCTAAATGCGGCGGGGGGGGGCTTCCTTGAACTTTTGCAGAGTTTGTGGAGGTTTGATTCTGCAAACTGAAGGTGATGTTCTCGTTCAAATTCACTCTACTCATGCACTTTCCAAGAGGTTCAAGGGTCACGCCTACAAGGGGCGAACCTGTAGGCCCTGATTTGCCGCGAAGTGACCGCGGCAGATCCTCTTATAGCCCGCCATGGTGGATTTGCGACCAAGACTGTCATCCATACGATCATTGCTGGAAGAGTTTGATTTGAGCAAACACATTTAACCTTCTGGTTCTGTGTGCAATGTTGCCCTTGGCCATGTGATCCCCCGGAAGATAGTTGGAAGCCTGTTCAATCACGAGGATTTTTGGATTGCTACTGAAATGGGGCGAGCTGATGAATCGAACTGGAGTTTTGAACAGGTGGCATTTTGCGCCAAAAGGGACATTGATGCCCTTGGAGGCCACAGCTTCTATCTACATGCCTTTCGAGTTTCAACAGATGGTGCAAGCATCCTCGAAGAAACCGAATCTTCGTTCATCGTGCCCTGGGATCAGGACTGCTACAGGAGTTTGCTGGGGCCTATATGGAGGATGGCATCGCGCAAATCCTCACTCAGCTGGTCCTTTGCCCTTGAGACCAAGCTAGACAGAGGAATCATGTATGCCTTGATTCATCAAACTTTGCTGGTGGGAAATTCCAATGATGATTCGACTCCTGATTTCCTGATACAGCGTTCCGAAGAGGTCACGCTGGCCTTTGACCGGACTAGCCATAAATGGAGGCAAGCTGTAGCCAGTATCCGACCAGAACGTTCGAGGAATCTTTCGGCGCCGTGCAAGTCTTGGTCTTCTTCGGGACTCCTTCAAGTCAAGGTCTTGCATCGCCAGACGGCCACATCTTTGCAGAAGCCATTGGATAAGCCAGATATATACAAATGGAAAATGTGGCCTGCGTCACAAAGCATGAAGACTTTACAGTTCTCAAGCAGCTTTTCAAGTGGGCTGGATTTCGTTTAATTCATGACTCAGTTGTGGACGCTGCCGATCAGATTCCCACCAAGAGACAAAGGTGGTTGGCGCTTTTGATTGCAGAAGAAGTCATGATCACTCCTAATGAGTGGCAATCATGGTCAATTGCTCCGAAGCCGTCGATCCAACAGGCTGACATCCTGATGACTGAAGAAAAGATGAGGGGCGTCCGGAGCTTTTTTCTGCCCGTACTATGACTCCATGCGCGCGCCAGGCCCGATTCGATTTTGGTTGAACAAGGATATCAGAGAATATCGCCTGCCTGCATTGCGCCAGCAAATGCCTACGGTAATGGCGCAATACGGTCGTCGACGTGAATTGCCTCCGCCTTTGATAGGTTCCAAAAGTGTTCAAGGGTCCTTTGCACCATACAAGGATGTTTTCCGCTTCTTGGAGCCCTTCAGAACTGCTTCTGGCCCATGGTGTGATGAAGACATCGTTTTTGTTGAAGCCTGCCACCGCAGCATGGTCAGTAGGTGATGCCATTGCGCTCCCACATGCCATTCTATGCCATTGGAACACACAGATCAGATCATTCACATGGATCCTGATTGTGTCCTGCCACTTGCTCAGGTCACGCAGTCTTTCCACGCCAACAAACTTCGACTCAGATGACGTTGGCTGGTTTGTTGGAGACTCCAACATGATCCGCGCGATTCGTCAACGTGTCACATCATTGGAAAGCAGCTTGTCACAACGCGTCCATGTTGTTGCGCTCTGGCGAAAAGGTGTGTTTTTCCATCCTAGACTGGGCGTGAGAAATTTTGGCCATTATGTAGATCTTAAAGGATCCAAAGATTCGTCGATGGACCATGCTCTGTGGGAAGCATTTCAATAGAACAGGGAAGAAGGTAAACTTGAAAGATTCCAAGATTTGTCATTGGTTGAAATTCTGCCGTTCAGTGTTGTCGACTCAGTCCATGAACACCAGCTGTTGGAGTCGTTTTGGAAGCTGAACGCAAAATCAAAAAGAGTCAAACTCGACCCAAACGGTTCGCAATCAATCAAGGTTTCGGAAACAGAGATCGACTCAGAAGATTGTTCACCTGCGTCGCCGCTCAGTCCTGCGTCGAGGGCCTCTCGAACCCATAAAGCCAAGGTGACATGGTTTACTTTCGATTGGCTATGGATGGCGGGCTACCTCCTTACTGGATTGGCCCAAGAGTAAGTTTTGGAACGGGAATGTTCTGCCCAAGGACGCTAGCAATTGTACCGCTGGAATCCATCACCGTGGCCCCAGGTCATCGGGGTTGGCCTTGATCTTCAGGAACTTGAGGAACTCCTCCGCCAGCTTCTCTGTGAAAACTCCACTTGCACTGCCGCCAAGTGCAGACATCAGCTCAGACTTCGACTGTGTGAGTCCTCACACTCCTTCACTTCAGACTTGGTCTTCTTCCTCCGCTTTGGGGCTGAAGACTCGGCAGTGCTTTCTTCCTTGACAGGCTCAGGCTCTTCTGCAGCCAACATCTCTTTCTCCCAATCCGACTTGGCCTTTGCACCTTTGTCCTTCTTCTTTCCCTTCTGCTTCAGCTCAGGGGATGACTTCACCTTAGCCATGGCCGTGGCCTTTGGCTGTTTCTTGCTGTTCTTTTCCACCTCCTTTGTGGTTTTTTGTCTCTCCATCGCCCTTCTTCTCATGTTTCTTGCTTTTAATTTTCCACCTCCTTTGTCTCCTCTGTCTTTCCATCGCCCTCCTTCTCATGTTTCTTCTTCTCAGCTTTCGCTTTCCCCTTCGCCTTGGCCTTGGCGGCCGATGCCTTGGCCTTAGCGGTCGGCTTGTCCGGAGTGGTCTTGCGAGCATCTTTGGTCTTTGGGCTCGGTGTGTCCTTACAGACTGCACCACGAGCAACAACCATGGAATCAGGTGAAGACAAATAACCTCACCAAAGAAAAACTTCAACAACATGACTGCCAGGAATCCATGCTAGCTGCGGGCGCTCAGGCGCTCCAAAATGAGCTGCTCGAAATCACGGTCAAGAGTGGGTGTTTTGGTGGCGCATGAGGTCACATCCAAGCCGAAGGGGCCGGGCAAGTGTCCCCTAGCGGGGGCATCCTTGGTGTGGAGGGCGTGGCGGGGCATGGGTACCGAGAAGATGAATTTGGATCGACCGCAAGGCTGTAGACCTTTCACAGACAAGGGTTGTTGTCGCTGTCTCCGTTGTTGTTGTTGTTGTTGCTGCTGCGAAGTTGGCCTAGGTTGCGCACGCTGGACTGGTTTTTGCTGCAGGGCAAGGGGGCATGGGGAGCAAGAGCGACCAAGTGCCAATAATGCGCTGCAACGAAGCGCTGTAAAGACGTGTGGGCGCAGGGCACGGGGGCATGTTTTGCCTGTTGGGTCGGGAAGAGGTTGGCGTGGTACGAGTGGGTTTTTGGGGAGATGACTTGCGCCCGCGGGCTGCAGCGCCCGCCTCGCGCGGGAAAAGGTCGGTGATGGAGGCCTATCAGCTGACTAAAGTCGAAATCTGCGCGTCATATTCGTATGTCGTCGTGTTTGTGATTGATCGCGATAAGAACTCCTTTTTTTGACCGTCTCATGTTGGTAGGGAGTCCTGCCACAGGCAGTTCGTCAGGCAAATCCGAACGCGCCGCGTGCAGCGAATTTCTCGACTGCCGCAGTGTGCCACACATTACATTTCACTTGTGACCTTTCCTACGCTCAAAGATTGCTGCTCTATTTGTGCTTTCTGAAGTTCATTCTCTGGCACACGCAGCCAAGGGTAGATGGCGAAAATCAAGCCCAACGAGGCAGCTCGGAAGCGCCCACTCATGGAAAAGCCCGAGTGAGTAACGCGCGCGACAAAGTTCACCAACAACACCACCAGCAACAGCAACAACAACGGCTGCGGCGACCGCAACAGCCACAGCGGCGACGACAGCAACGCTGCCAATAAAGCGCTTTTGCCACCTTCAACCCCGAACATAGCTACTTGGGTGTGCCTTTTGAGTTGCGGCGCTTGCAACTAACTTGTTTGGAAGTTGTAGAACTTAAGAAAACAACCAAAATAACTTCAAAGTAAGTTCGAAATAACTTCCAATAACTTCAATTCTTTTGAAAACCCAAGAAACCAGATTGACTATCTTCAATGTTTTTTCAAAAATCATTGCCGCTAGCTGAGACCAACCTGCTCAGTGCAAAGCGGTGAACACCGCACTTTCACGCAACAACCTGGTGTAAACCCAGCGGTGAACACTGCGCTTTCATGTTACAACATGATGTAAACCAGCGGTGAACACCACACTTTCATGTAACAACATGATGTAGACCAGCGTTGAGCACCGCATTTTCACGCAACAACCTGAATAAAACAAGCGGTGAGAACAGAACCCCGTAGGCATCTCCTTGTTTCTGTCACGCGCTATCGGAAAAGGTAGATTTGGCCATCGTCTGCGCGCGCGAAAGAGACAGTGACCATGTGCCTTACAATCTCGACAGGAATCAAGACTGCACGTTCCCCATCTCCCCACAAAATTTAAACTGCGCCATGCTGCGACTCCTTTTGTTAGTCCGTCCCTGCTTGAGTCCCTGAAAAGAGCTCAATGGAAAACTGAAAAATAACACCTGGAAACTTTGAAGACACGGGGAGGGTGGGCGGGGATGTGTGGTATACGGGTCGTATATACGGACGGTATACGGCGGTATGCGGCTGGGATCCCGGCATGGTATACGGATGGTATACGGACGGTATACGGTGGTATACGGTTGGCTTCCTGTAATTTGCTGATTTTTGTGGTCAAAAAGGTGCGAGTGTTACAGGGCTGGGGGACCTGCATCACCAGCACCTTCGGTGTAACTTGAAAAAAGTGAATTTGACATGTCACAATGTTTTCAAGTTTGCTTTGCATGTCCTTTCTAAAGGCATCGGCAACCTTGCAGAACTACTTTATAATCTCCTTCTTGAAAACGCAGAGCCAGGCCACCCCAAAATTTGAAGAGTGAGAAATACAAATTTGTTCAAAAGTGAGATTTACCTTTACCGTGTGCATCACTGGCTTGGCTGCTATAGGCCATGTCTTCAAGCTTGAGCCGGTGCTCTGAAGAAACACGCCCGGGCAGGCTGTCTATTATTCACTAGTACACACTCCTTTATGGCGATGTGGTGAAATGAAATCTGATGCAGAAACCTGAATGTGAACATTTCCTTTCATCCTGAAGCGGTGAAAACCGCAATGAAAATGGCAAGCCAAAAAAGTGAACTGAGAAGGTTGGTTCAGCGGCGCAACTTTTGCCTATCAACCAAACAGAAAACCAACAAGCTTTTGAAAAAAAATAAATAAGTTCAAAATAACTTCCATCAAATTCCTAAGTAATTTGTAACTTCCCGCAGAAGTCTTCAGAAGTTGCACTACTTTTAGTCTGGTTAGACAGGTTCTGAGCAACATATTGAATTTGCAAGTAAGTTACAACCCACTTTTAAGTCCTCCTACTCCAAAGCACACCCAAGTATAGATGCACTTTCCAGCAGCTCACAGGGCAGAAACGTTTCAATTAGCGTCAAGCAGCGATGCCTCTGCGTGCGCCACGCGCGCGTCACCACGCTACAATGTTTTAGACGCCGCTGTTGTCCATGTAGCCCTGGATCGCCGAAAGTACCGGGTGATACTTGTCAGTGGGCCCTGATCAGCCAGACAATTTTCTGGCGGAGGGAGCGTGGTCTGGACTGCGACGCAGGATGGTGGCGGATTGCTTCACCAACTTGATGAAACCAACCCTGTTGGTACGTGCTCTGGAGCACAGTATCACCCCGCTTGAACTCCAGCGCCAATCGCCGATCGAGACCACAGGGACTGAGCAGAGGCATTTGGACAACGGTCTCCGAGCCCGTGTTCGTAGCAGGTCTGTAAAGTTTCTTCCGCCGCTTCACACCTGGTAGAGCTGGTTGCGTGTAAATTCACGCTGTTCATAAATGTTCTTGAGTGTATAGGCGAGACATCAATAGAAAACGGCTATGGTGTCTGCTGCCGCTTGGCTCAACGAAAACCCTTTTGAGCTTTGCCTGTGGAGCCGCAGGGAAAAGACTTTCGCGGATAGTTTTGTTTCATTTAGTTTATACTCGAAAGCTTAAGACTCCCTTGGAGGAAGAGAGATGCCCAATTACTGCCCCGATATCAGCGCAATCAAGCCCAAAACCTGAGAATGTTCCACGTGTGCCGATTTCCGGAGGGCGAAGCCATTGCCAGAGCACTTGCATTGTGGTCAGGCAAGAACGCCCGGCAAGGTGGTTGACACGGTTTTTTGTTGCGCACTTTGCGAAACATTTTGGTTTTCGTTGTGTTTGCTGATGCAAAACCACCGCGCCATAGACAAGATTGCGCAAAGACCGGGGTTAGACAGTTAGTTGTAGTCCCACTGTTTGCGTATGTCTGCACTTGCAATGGCTGAGGTGGGATATCATAACTCGGAAGGCAGGTGACCAACGCCAGGGCCCCAGGACGTTCAGACCCAAGAGAGACCACAATCTGATAGTTGACGCAGTGCATGGTCCCAACAGTTCCGAAAGACACCGACAGCTGGCCGCGCGCCTCAACCGTATTGCGGCGTTGTCCCTCTTCTTGTCCTCCTGCTGTCCTCTGGGCTCGCAAAGCCTGTGTCTTCCTCTTGTTTTCTTGCTGCCCTCCTTCTCTCATTGCGCCGCGCTTATGTCCGTCCGCTGTCCTGTTTGTCCGCGTTGTTTGCCTTTTTATCGCCGCCTTATCCCGGCCTTATCCGCTGCTTGGCCACACCGCTTTAACTTGTTTTGAAATTGATATAACTTTTCGCATTTTCTCGTAAGTTTTCCTTGTGTTGCCTCCCTTGCGCCGCTGGGCGCACTCATGACCCTTTGTCCTGGTGTCCTTCTTTTGTCCTCTGGCTGTGCTGGCAAGCCCTGTGTCGTCCTCCTGCTGTCGCTTGCGAACCATGTGTCCTTCTCTTGTCATCCTGCTGGGTATTGTGTTGTCTTCCTGGCATCCTCCTTGGCCGGCCAAGTTGTGGCGTCGTTGGCCGCGCTGTGTTGTGAGCGCTTGTCCCAGGCCTTGTCCGGGTGTGTTCTGCTGCTTGTCCGCGTTGTCGGCCCCAGCCAATTCCTGCTTGGCCACGCTGCTTTCTCTTTCTCCACCGTCTGCGTGGCTATGAACGCAACAGAAATACAGTGTCTGATATCATCCTCGGATTTTATCACAACATAAACGCCACCGTGTTTGCTCATGTGACCTCGGGAATCAGGAACTGGTGTTTTCTAATTACTTTTTTTTGGTATGCACGCCGTTCCCAATACAGGCGATACCACCAACTTTGATTCCGAAAACTAATTCTGAAACTTTTTGCAGTCTATGCTGGTGTACTTTTGACACCATTTTTTGGCCCACATGTTAATTTTGTTTTTGTCTTTGGAACCCATGTGTTTTGGTTTCTTTTTTATCGTTTTGTCGAAGTGCAGCGGCTGTCGTCCTTCGAGGTGCATACACACAGTTGGTTCGTTTGGTCATCATCGATGAGCCCGGACCTCAAACCGAAGACTGAGAGACGCGCCGAAAAACGGATGGAGCTCCGGACCAAATGACAAATGAAAACAACATGTTAAAGCCTGATATCTAGGAACCAAATGATTAGTGCGAGCGCTTCTTCAACAAGTTCCGCCCTCAAAGCTCCGCTGCTCCCGCGAAGGAACGTGAGCCATTCTGCGCCCTAGCTGGAGCGTGGGGTACCTTCTTGAAAAACGGCTAAAAAAACAACACCAGAAGCACGGAGGACACTCATCCCGGCCGCGGGCGCCCCGCTTCTGTAGCAGGGTCGGGGAGCTGGTAGAAGGACAGCAGGCTGGACAAGAGCGCGCGTTGCACCATCAAGCGCTACTATCCAAAGGTAGCCAGCGTTATAGGAGGACCGCTGATGAGAGCCTGAGATTGATTTCAGCAGCTTTCGAGCGCCTCAGGCACACCTAAACTTAATAGAAAAGATAAGAACAGAAACAGTAGAAAGATTGAAAACCTCGGTTCCCGGCAGTTTTCGGTCCGACCAAGGATCCATTTGCTGCATGACAGCCGTGGCCCTGTCCTCGAATCAATCGTGGCCCGCACCATCCGCCAAATCGAGACAACTCAGGTGAGAAGAAAACAAGAAAGACAGTGAATAACTCGTTTTGCGGAGAAAAAACATAGAATGTTTCTGTACCGATGGAAAAGCAATGTTTCAAAACCTGCTCTCAGCCAGGAACACATCCGTTTGGTGGGTCTTTCGGCCACGCTGCCGAACTACGAGGACGTGGCCGTGTTCCTCCGGGTCTGGCCGCATGGATTCGCCATGGATGCGGCGCACACGGAAAAGAAGGAAAAAATACACATCATGTTCATTGTTTGTGCAATTTTGTGCAATTGCATTTTAAACTTTGTGGGAACACTCGCATCACATTTGGACATATATGATAGACCATAACCCAATTGATTGCACCTGGAGCCAGGTTAATCCAGAGAAGGGGCTGCACTATTTCGGCAATCATTTCCGGCCAGTGCCATTGGAGCAGACCTACATTGGCGTCTCAGCAGAGCTCAAGCAACAATGGTGACGAAACCTTCATCCTTCGTGTTTCGTTCCTACCAGCAACTAGTACTAGTAAGCTACTAGAGACTACTAGTACTAGTCGCGTTGTTTCTTGGTTTGAGGCGTCACCGACAAGAAAGCGATCAAACGCTTTAATACCATGAACGAGGCGCCCTTTCTTTGGGGGAGGGTAGGCTGTAGGATGAGCTTAAGTAAGCAACTAGTGGCTAAAGCAGCAAGGAAACTACTAGGTTTGGACGCAGAAAGGCTCAGGTTTCTTCAAGGAAACTCCCTCCTGGAGGAAAGGGGGAGCTTCCTTGAAGGTTCCGAGCTGTAACAAACAATGATTACTAGTAGCGTCCTTGTTACTACTAGTAAGGCACTTGTTATTAGAAGCGATGCAATTGTTCCTAGTAGCTTATTGTTTCTAATCTGTCTCTTAGATTTTGAACATTCACTTGTTGACATCATTCGGGTCTTTGACAAGACAGGTTTGCTACGAAAAGCTCATGGAGAACGCGGGCAAAAATCAGGCTATGAAGTGCAATGTGCACCAACTTGGACAGTTGACATCTGCAGGTACTGATTTTTGTTCACTCCAGAAAAGAGACGGTGAAGACGGCTGTGAGCTTACAGCTATCATTGGGGCCACAAGTACGGCATATGTGGTCATTCGTTTTGAATCGCTAGTTGAATGGCTCATGAGTCACGAGGCGCAAACGCTGCGTGATTTGGCAATGCAAAACGATGCTCGGCAGCAACTTCCACAGCCAGCCAATGTTTTGCACACAACATCATAAATCATCGCGTGCAATGTATTGTCGATGCCCGCACCGTATTTTTCGAGGACACACTGGCAAAGTTCTTGCAAGAAGATTCAGCTTCAAGAGAAATCTTGCAAACGGAGGCAACACGGCGGTTTTCTTTTTTATAAATCAGTATCTTCTTGGACATCGTGTTTTCTTAGACAGTTTTAACACCATTTTTTTTTTGAAAGTTTGAAAGGACGCTACTAGTAACAAGGGCATCGCTTCTAGTAACAAGTGCCTTACTTGTAGTAACAAGGACGCTATTATGTTTGACGATGCTTCGCAGCTTTGCAGGCTCAAGAGATGAAGACGCCTGAGGCGCACGCGGTTGGAATCGAGAGGGAACAAGATGGAAAGCCGGAAAAGACAACATAGAGACAACATATATATATATATTTACTATATCATAGTTATGGAAAATAAAAGAAACATATCATAGTTATTTCTCACCACATACATAGTTATATCATAGTTGTATATATTTATATTGTATCATAGTTGTATCATGATAATAGTTCCTTTGTATCTCCAGACCAGTCAGTCTGAGGGTTACAGCCACAGATGCAGAGCATTTGACAGGATCTGTCATTCTTGGCATTCTCAATCCATGTATCTAACATGTGATGTTTTAAAATCTGTTTCTTTGGTGTGTGTGTGTGTCACACCCTGGTTCTAAGGGTTTTCCATGTTCCTACCTTCTTTTTCACCGAAGCAGGGGGATGGAGAGGACATGTGAGGCTCCATCCAACGAAGCTCCTCACATGATCCTAGGATATCGGCAAGGACGCTTGCCGACGTACCTGCAATCAACTGTTGCTCACGCTGTTCCACTCTCGGTTTGTTTCATGGTGGTTTCACACGATACCTTCCCCACAAACAGGTTTTCCCACTGCAGCTTTCAGCCGCTTGTGTATTGCAGCCAGCAGAGCGAGTGAAACAATGTTTAACAGTTCAAATCACCGGACCCATTCGCCTTTCCGTTCCCTCACCTTCCTTCCCAGCGTGGCAATTGAGTCTAACTGAAAACCAATGTCAGAGTGTGTGTCCAGCCCTTGGATTCAGAGGGAGCCTTCTGGCTTTCATTGCGAATCTTGACGTTGCCCGAGCCTCTCACCTTTATTGGAGACTGCGCATTTGCAGACTGCAGCTCATGGACAACTTTTGACTTTGCAGACACCATCTCTTCGGTTTTGACGGCTAGCCCCCAATTTTTTGATGCCGCACCAGAAAGATGAAACCAGTGCCACCTCGAGCATGGGCGACACAGTGCAGCAAGTCGGCGTCTCTAAAATATTTCCATGGATGCAAAAGTGCGGTCTGTTTTCTTGAGCCAACCATGTTCAACAGCCGGTCAGCAGTTGTGTCGTGTAGTATACTGTAGTACACTTTCTTGATTTGTGTGTGTCATCCGCAGGGGCTCCATGCTGCTTGCCACGTGCCCGCGTGGTTAGCGGTTAGGTGAGAACCTTAGGTAGCCCTTGAATGTGCGGGGTGCTGCCGTGGATATGGTTTTTCGGTGGCCTTTTTTCGAGTGCGACATCTGGAGCTGAAGGAGCCTGGTTGGCACCGTGGTCTACGGCGCCTCAGGCAGAGAGCCAGGCCCTTTCTCCGGCGGCTTGGCGTCAGAGCTGTGGGCAGGCGCACAAGGCTTCGTGCGCAGAAAGCGGTGGAGCTGCTGACCGCCCATCACGGCTCTCATTGCCCGGCCGCAATGAGTTTGCAGAACCAGAAGTGGGAATGCAGACACTGCAATGTCGTCATGACATACATGCAGGTGCGTTGCACCAAGTGCCATGGTTGGTGGGAACAATGCAACCGTGCCAAGTCGCGTTCTCAGTCGCAGAGAAAAAGGAGGGCCAGCAAAGGCCAGAACAATGCCAAAAAGGACGATGCCAAGCCATCCGAATCCCCAGGATCTATGTTGCCTTCTTTTATGAAGTGGGATGGACTGGGACAACCATGGCAGAAGTCAACGCCAGACGGAAGGCTGGCAAAGATCCAGGCGGAGGAGAATCTCGAACTCCCCCCGCCGCCGCAATTGCCGCCGCCTCCCAAGCCGGCCGACGAGCTGCAGGAGGTGGCGCCGGAGGTCAGAGCTCACATCGAAAGCTTGCAGAAGAGCATGGGATCAGCATTCGCGCCGAAATTGGAGCAGGATATTGTGGCCGCCACGAGCACTTCCATGGAACACCGAACCCCCAACCATAGCGACGATGCCTTGCGCGCTTTTGGTCTCACGCGGAGCATTTGGACACATCGCTGTAGAGCTCAATGAGGTTCATGTTCCGCTCGTGGATTTGATCACAGTCCTCCAGTTCATCAATCGACTGCGTGTAACCGAGCTACTGTCACTTCCAAGAGCGCAAGAGCGTTATAATTCTTGCTCTTGGTGTCGATGAATGGGCCAACGATGGCGTCTTGCTGCCACCACTCCACATACGGCCGGATGGGCCACCACGTCCACCTTGGCCTTATCCGAAGCATGGTATATAGTAGCCCAACCCAGCGCAGCGTCGCGGCCCGCCGATCTGCTCCGCAACACTGAAATTGGGCAACCGAAACGGTCATGAAGCGCAGCCTCGACGCAACCTGGACACTGTTCTGCACGGTGGTCCGCCAATGATCGCCGCCAATGTGCCCTGCTTCGCAAGGCGCGCGAGAAAACCCCAGAGGTCCTGCGACTTGTTATGCTTGCCACGGTGATGACCTTGTACTTTACTCCTTGAGTTCCTCCCACTCGAGGCCTTTGCGCCAGCAAAGAGATGAAGAACCACGCGCTTCGCCGCCAGCCTTCGTCGTTATCTCCGGTTCCAAGGAAGAGTTCCGCCGCCGAAGTCATTCTCCTCCGTCATGTACCTGAAGATCCTCGAAAAGTAAGGTGCCTCGGCAACATGTTGGCTCCACCGTGTCAGCATGCTAGTGCCCCTCGGGGAGGAGCGCGTCGTCGTGTTTTCTCCGATCCTCGATCTCCTGAATGAGAGGCAGTGCATCTTCTTCCAACACTACCGGGCATCCTTCTTGAAGTCGAGAGGTGGTTTTCACTGTTCGAGGATGTTCCACAGTGCGCCCTAAATGGGACGGCGCGCTTTTGTATCTCACTTCCATTAATCCTCGATCCGGAACGATGGGCTCCGCCGGTTCATTCAGTCGACGCCAACACGCCTGGCCTGTGACCGGATGTTGGAGCATTGCCGGACAGCCAGTGGCGGACGAGCTCTTTTCTGCTCGATCAAGTTCTCCATCGCGAGCTTGACGTGGTGCACGCGCCGTCTACAAGCCCCAGCGAAGAGCCCGGTTCTAAAGTCCACTTCCGACTTGATTATTACGATCACCTTGACCCTTCGCAGGGATTTTCTCACATGCGGACACTCTCTTCGCGTGTGATTGAGGCCCGAACAAAAGAAGCGCCAATTCAATCTCCTTCGGGCTGCGGTCGGAGTGCTTGAACTTGCACCTGTCTCCTCTACAACACCCTTTCCAGAGAGCCACAACCTGCAGTCACCCTTGGCCTCGACCCACGTTCTTTGTCTTCTGCGCCGTTGTTGTAGCCGTACCATCTCCGCCAATGTGACGAAGGTTCCATCTCCGCCATGGAGTTCGAAGTCTTCAGCTCCGTGAGGTATCGGATCAAGCTGACCCTCGCCCCCTGTCCGCCCGGTTGGATCTTGATGAACAAGGTGTAACAACAAGTGCGTCGCGCTCAACTTGCGCGTCGCCGCAGCCTCAGACTTGACGTTGTCCGGGACCGCCTGCGACAACAAACTGGTCAGCCTCGTTCTTGGCCACCTGGTAGCCACCGTTGAAGTGCCAGTATCCAAACGAAGATGTTGAAGAGGACACGGCGTGTGCAGCTCCTCAATTCCTTCAGAGCCACGCTCTGCCATTCCTCCGCTGACGCGCTCCACCGATCTGTGAAGGTCAGTGAATTGGCGTTTGTACCACGTTGTGCCGTTCAAGAACTCGTCACTGCCACCATGCATTGAAACACCGCCAGCCGGACCAGGTCCCAGGTGGCCCAAGCTGAATTCCAGCAAATACGGCCAAGCCAAACGCACTCCAGGTCCAGGATTGAAGACGGGCCCAGGAACGGGAACCGCGCCACTTATAGATGTTGATTGGGTAGGAACTGCGCGCGTCGGATGGCCTGGAAGCTGCCTTGCCCCACTAGATTCTGAAACCTGCAGTTTCCCACCCCCTTGTTGTGTCTGCCGCCGTCTTGAACGAAGCATCTCAAGGTGGGTTGCTGCAAGCAGCTGTCGTACACCTTCAGCAAAATCCACGGTCTCCCCAGCTTCTTGGTTCTGAGGAAGGTTCACGGGTCTGCTTGATCTTTTCTGCAGACCAGTTGTCTTGACATGGAGCCCGACACCGATAGATGTTCACGGCCTGGCGCTCTCCTTGTCCGTGAGATAGTTTCAGCCACGAAGAACGGGTAGTTGACGATGAGTCGTGTGCCGGGATGATCCCTGAGAGGGCCCTTGAAGCCTGTCCTAACCACTCCTGATCTGGTCTTGTAGTTGACCTTGTACTAGTTCAGCCGTAGGTATAAAGGTGGAAGCAAGTTCCAGAATAGCCAGGCCTCCGCCCTCCGCCAACGCGCTACGCTCCGTCCTTGCCGTAGGAGTTTTCTCCACCTTGGCTTGGCGCGTGCTCTTTGGCAGTTTAGCAGATGAGAGACTGGATGAGCTTCTTGCCCAGCAGACACCGGCGAGGAGGATGCAGAGCGCTGAACCGAGCTCGGGGAGACCTTCCTTCAAGACCCTCCTGCGACTCAGCAGCGATGCCATCGCGTGAATCCTCCACCATCCCGTGCGCACTCGGGGCTGCTACACACAAACCGCTTGGGCTCATAACCCATGGATGCAAAAGTGCGGTCTGTTTTCTTGAGCCAACCATGTTCAACAGCGGGTCAGCAGTTGTGTCGTGTAGTATACTGTAGTACACTTTCTTGATTTGTGTGTGTCGCCCGCAGTTTCAATAGGTCAAGACTTTGGCAATCTGTGCTTGCGTGGGCGTGGCGTTGCGATGACATGTTTTTTGCTGCTGCTGCTGCACGCCCAAGGCCTTGCAGGGAACACGCCAGAAGGCTCACATGAAAACTTATCAGTTTACATACAACGCGCGCGCATGATTTGGGCTTTGTGAGACAGCCCTGTCCTGTGCAAACAAAAGGGTGAAAACTCATCGAAGCTATATACTCTTCTGTTAACAGATCGACGCAAGTGATTGCGTGCTTTGTTTTTCCAGGAGTGTTGTGCAGGGTTTTGTAGAAATCTTTTGCGTGACACATCTGCATCAATATTTTCTGGTTTGGTCATAGCTGGGCGAAAATGCTAAAAGCTACATCCGCAGCTTGCATGCATGGTCTTCTAGACCTGCTGCTAGGTGGTAACAGATTCCTTCTTTTTGCCTTTTGAACTTTTGATGCATTAAAAACAAGGGATGCCCCATACCAGAAGAGAGGGCGCCTAACAAAGACGCTCTTCAGGCTGTGGATATTGGCGGGGGCGCTTGCTGACTGCTTTGATATGCGCACGCACACATGGTTTAATGGCGTCGGCCACTCAATCCGAAAGTAGGAAACGCATTGAAACCAAACTCGCGCTACTTCCTCGCTTACCATTCTCCTTCCACTGTCCTTCTTTCAACCTTCGTTCCTGGATGGGAGCCTGAACCAACTTCGCATCAGCAGCTTACCCAGGTGGAGCCTGTGTGTTTCACCAACCCTGATCCCAACTTTTGTAACGTTCTCGCTCTGAAACAAAACGGAGAGGTTATGACGCGTGTTTGTACCAATCTCCTCTCAATGTTGCCTGTGTGAACTCATACAAACGTAGGATGGGGGTGATCCATCACACGCCACTTGGAACCATAGCCCAAATCCCTTTCACAGCTGACAGTTCCTTTTCTAAGGAAGACGACAAGTCTCCCGGAGAGCTGGCGCCAAAGACGCGCTTGATCCAAATGAAAGCACTATGGCTTGCCAACCCTCGAGTACATCAATACTTACAACATTCACTAGACTATCGGTTGGTTGCCACATGCCAAGACAACCCCAATGACCTGTGGTTGGAGTTGTATGCTGCTGCATATTTTGGCGCGGAGATCAGCGCGATGTCAAGCTTCTGGCGGCGTTCTAACGGGCGGAGCCTCCGCTGTACACGCGGAATTTGCCTCGCCTGTACACGCGCAGAATTTACCTCGGTTGTACACGCGCTACTCGGATGTACACGCGGCTTACTCGGCTGTGCACGCGGCTTGCTCGGCTGAATGAACGAATGAATGAATGAATGTCCAGAAGGACGTTATTAACACCCCCCCCCCCC